CGATTTATAAATTAGTATCTTTTAGCCTTTTAATAACCTTATATATATAATCTTTATACTTATTAATATTTTCAGAATATATAAGAATATTATTAAGGTAGGTAGTATAAAAATCGTTTAAATAATCTAATAAGATATTATTTATATACCTTTAGAAAGTAGTAGGTCTATTTATAAGATTAAAAGGTAACACTTTATACTTATATACTCTGTAATATATTCTAAATATAGTTAGCTCCTCGCTATTAGAGTTTATTCTAATTTAATAGAAAGCTTATCGAATATCTAGCTTTATAAATATTTTAGCTTTACTAATACGAGTTAATATCTTATTAATTAAAGGAATTAGGTAGCGATCTCTTTATATAATCTTATTTAGCTTCCTAAAATTAATATCAAAGTATAAGCTACCCCTTAGTTTTTTAATAAATAAGACTAGTAAAGTGAAGAGAGTGTTTAAAGGCTCTATAAAGCTTTTATATAAATTATCCTTTAAGTACTCTTTAGTTAGGACTAGTTCCTCTTATAATATATTATATAAAGGATTATATTTTAAGTTATAAAGTTTATTAAGAACTATCTTATAATCGTAGTCTTTATACGAAAGTAACTTATTAAACTCTTATTTACTAAAAGTATTATATAAGTCTTTTAAAAACTTAAATACTTTTACTATTATTTTATTTTAATCCTTAAAAGAAAGCTTAGCTATTAGCTAATTAATTTTATATAAGCTAGTTATAAATAGCTTAGTTCCTTTCCCTTTATCTCTATTTATTATTCGACTAAAAGTAGTAGTACTAATAGTAAAAATACCTAGAGAAGAGCTAGTAGGATTTCTTAATTTTAATAAAGTAAGTAAGTTATAATATAAAGTAACTAGTTTATAAGAGCTAGAATTAGAAAATCCTAATAACTCTTATTCTATAGTTTTAAGCTATTTATATAGCTTACTTTTAAATGAATTTTTAGCTACTAATTTAAAGCGATTTACTTTTCGCTTCCTTTTCTTACTTATAATAATAAGTACTAGCTTAAGCTTTTAGCCTTCTAAGCCCTTAGATATTAATTAATATTATCTTAATAATTTTTATTAATTAGCTTCTTTTTAAGTTACTCTTATCTAATTAATATTTCCTTATAAAAAGATCTAACGCTCTTAAGAAGCTTACTAAGCTAAATCAAGGCTTTTCCTATTATATCTAGTAATACTTTAAAATACTTTAACTAAATATAATCTAAAATAAAGTTATAATTATCTAATTCTAGTAAAAAGAAAGGTATATTAATTATTCTATACTTATTAATTATAAAAAAGAGATAGAGATAAGATATAATTTAATTATTAGCGATTCTATTATAGCTTTTTATTATAATAAGCTATAATAACTATTAAGGTATAATACTAAAGAGATATTATAATTTCTTAGTAAAAGGCTTATTTAGAAAAGCGAAGCTATTAGCGCCTATATTAATTAAAAAGTATAATTAGATAGAATATCTATTTTTACTAAGGTAATAAGAGTAAGTAAAGTATAGACTACTTATTAGCTTTAATAGGTCTAAGTTAGTGAGATCTATTATATTACTATATTTACTTAAAAGAAAGTCTTATTTTAAGCTTCTTCTTTTAAATTAGCTTTACTCTCTAATTAGCTGATTTTATTAATTTCCTTTTAATCTAGCTTTTTAAGATTACTTGATTTAAGCTTAAGATATTAAAGTAATAAATACCTTACTTTATTATACTTATAATAGTATACTTCCTAATTAGGCTTTATAGCTATAATAGCTATAGTTTTTTTAGTAGTCTTTTTTATATAATTATTATTATAACGATTTTATATTCTTTACTCTCTATAAGCTAATCCAGAGGTTCTAAAGCCGCTAGTTATAATAACAGACTCTCTTCTTCTTTAATTAGCTATTAGCCTCTCTTATTTATACGATTTTAGTGTAGCTTAGTAAAATTTATTAAATCTATTAATAAAGTTTACTACGAGTTTTATAGTAGCTTTAAGATCAGGGTATAACTTTAAGTAAAAGTAGTTTTTTAAGTGATCCTTAGGTTTTCTAGCTTTATTAGTAAGACATAGGAATTTAGCTTTAAAATTACTAAAATTATTAGTAGATAATATATATAAGCTATTATATTTAGCTTTATATATTAGTATTTACTTTATAATAAAGATCTTATATAAATCAGCTATTAGCTCTATATAGTATATATAAGGATCCCTGCTATATATATTATACCTTATAAATAAGGCTTCTTATATTTTACTCTTTATTATATTATATATATAAGTTATATAAGTAAACTTATTATTAAAGTAGTTCTAATTTACTTTTAGCTTAGAAATAATCGATAATTCCTATCGCTTAAATATAAGGTCTATACTATCTATAAGTAGCTTCGGATTATATTTTTTTCCAGTTTTATACCGCTTATTATTATATCTAGGAAACTTATTAAAAGCTCTTATAATAGTAGCTCTAATTATATCTCTAATAAAAGAGGAATTTATAGAGGAAATCAGAGGTAGAGATACTCTAAGAAGCTCTCTTTAAATTTAAGTTATAAAGCGAGTTATAGCGTTTACTTCTCTAATTAGTCGATTAGGCGATAGAGTAGTAATACGTGTTATAGGCGTTTTTTCTTTATCTCTTTACTTACTTCTAATATATTCTATAATATTCGTTCTAAGCGTATTTTCATAAATATACTTTAAGAGGCTTTTATCTCTTACCTGATTAAGGTTAGAGTTAGAGCTTTTTAGCTCTTATAATTCTTACTATAATAAGCGATTCTCTTTAGCTTACTCTTATATTATACTACGTAATTCAGCGATTTAGTTTATTAGACTCTTATTAGCTAAATCTCTCTATTATAAGTAAGACCTAGGTCTAGTTATAAAAGCTTCTTCTACCTCTAATTAGTCTATATTACTAGCGCCGGGTATTTATACTTTAGTAGGGGTACTTTAAACCGAGGAGAATAACTTAGCTTTATTATTAACTCTTAATTAGTTTAATTCGTTTTAATTTTCTATAGAAGTTATATTTTTACTTAAAGAGCTATTATTATAATTACTCCGAGTATTATATTAAGAACTTATAGTTCATACTATTAATTAGCTACTAAAATCGCGGAAATTAGTTAATATTTAACTAAGATATTATTAAGTAATAATATAAGGTTTTTAAAGAGTAAGTCGATTATATAAGTGACCCCTTTAGTATATAAGCCTAATAAAAGCTCTTTTTACTATTATAATATAAAATAGTAACTATTATATTACGTACTAGCGTATCTTATCCTATTATAGAATAATAACTATTATAATAAGTACTAAAATAACTCTTTATAGCGTTTTATATATATAAGTTAAATATATATTTAAACTTAAGGATTTAATTAGTTCTTTTAGAGAGCTACACGTATTAAAGAATAAGAGCTATAAAAACAGTCTTTTCTACTACTACTAGGAGCACGCTAGTAAGCTCGCTTAGCTCTCTAAAGTAGCTCTTATTCGCTATTATAATATAATAACGTTTCTAAGAGAGATATTAGCTCTTATAATAGCTAATAGCGAATAAGACACTAGTCCGAGTTAGGAGTATTCTTAATAACTAGTATAACACTTAGTAGTCGGATTATATAGCTAAGTCTCGTAACCTAGTTAGACGTTTAAAGTTAATATAAGAGTATTAAGTAATAATAAGCACTTATCTACTTTTAACTAGCTGCATAATTCTAACTAATAGTAAAGCTAGGCGATTCTAGCTTTTAAATAATACTAAGCTAAGCGTAGTCTTATAACTTCATATAAGTAGTCTATTATCATATAACTAAGTAAGTAGCGCTAGTAAAGTAATAATAATAAGAGTCGAAAAACAAAGGCTCGCTTAAATAACACGTATAAGTCATTAGGATATTATTACGCTATTACTAGCAGTATGATTTAAGCTTAATATAATATAATAGCACAGTTTAACGTTAGCTAGCACGTAAGTGAAATAACTACAGATTAAGTGATAACCTCTTTATTAGCGCGAATATTAAGCTAAAGTGCCTTCTACAGAATCGAGAGCTCCTTAGCTTGATATTCACGCTAATAGAGAGGTTATCACCTTATCCGTGGTTATTTCGCTTACGTGCTAGCTAACGCTAAACTGTGCTATTATAACCCCCTGCTAGGTTAAGTAATCGAACTACCTCCCTTTATTAATATTACTAGAAACGATAAGTAGGAAATCAAAGATATACTCGCTTATTATAAACTATAAGGAAACCTCTCTTATTAAGTGTCTTAGCTAAACTAAGATATCGATTTAATATAGTATAACGCTTTTAACGTTAAACATAGCTTATATAAGCTATCACGTTTCTACCTTAATGACCTAACATAAGCTAGTCTATTATTAAAAAACCTTCTAGTTTAGCTGAAAGCCTTTAACAAGGGTATTCATAATTATAATTACTTAGATAGAGATAAGAAAATAGATAGACGCTTAAAGACGAGCTTTTTCAGAAGAGAGGAGTAATATAACAATTCAGAGGTATTTCTATAGTTCAGATAGCTCGCTTAGCTATTCCTAATAGGGAAAGTATAACCCGAGCTAAGCGAGATTACCTTCTCTAACCTCTTATATATTACTTCTTTATCTCCTTTACCTTCTTTCTACCTCAGTTATAGATTCTAAGAGAATCTTAATTACCTTCACTTAATATTATTAATATATAAGACCGCTATTACTACGTGATACCGGCCTTCTATAGGGCAAGCGTTATAAAAATACTTTATTAAAAAGAATTTTCTCTTATTATATTATATTATTACCTCTTCTTTCTACTAATAGCTAAACTACTATTTATTATAATACTAGGGAAGTAATAGACCGTTAAGAATTATATATACTATTTGATAACACGCTATGATATGTAATTATTAAGTTATTTTTAAAAATTCTGTTTGATTAAAAGATATTCCAAAAATGTTTCCTACTTTAGACGAATCAGCCGCATTTCTTGGTAATGCACGCCAGCGGAGATATGGGTAATCCAGACCTCGTTCTGGCTCAACGCCATATACGCCTCCCATCAAGGATCGTTAATGCCACCTCCCGCCCTTGTGAAAAGAGAAATCGCATTTAAAGATGTGGTTCGCCTCCCTAGATGCGAGATTTTCTTCTTGCTCACTTGGTACACTCCCTCGTAACGTCGTGATATATCGGCTTTTTTGTGCGTTGCACAGCATGCATTTCGCAAGCGCGTTTACTGCTGGAGTCGCCCTGCTATCCTTCACTTCCAGCTCTCTTGCCTTTGTCGTTAAATCAACACGTGCCGACGTGACTGCCGAGCCCTTGCCGCCGACCATCACCGCAGCTCCGAAATCCTCCTCTGATCTCCAGGTGCAATCCCGAGACGTGCCCAAACGTCGAAAGTACACGAGAAAGCCTTCGAGGAAGGTGAAATGGCCCACTAAACATGCCAAGGGCTGCACCACCACCGAACTCCTCAGAAATGGTGATTTCGATAAGAACGCCAGGGGCTGGACGTCGTATTCTGGTGCTTCGGGCCTGGCGACACTGTTCTGGGTTGCGCACTCCAAGAGGCGACCTGCACATTCTGGTGCTGGGCAGGCTTATATCTTCATGAATCGCGGACCAGCTATCATTGATTTTGACACCAGACTCCCCGCAGTAGAGTACGGCAATGCCATCACCATCTCGATGTGGATGCGCTACGAAGAGCCGGCGGATGTTGGCAGCTGCTACGGTTTTTGGTCTGTTCGAGGATTCGATGGTGGCCTTGAGGTGACCTTGAAGCCCAAGTGGACAAAGTACAGTTTTGAGGTTCCGGGGTTTGGCCGGGCACAGGTACTTCACTTTGTCTTACAGTGCGACTTTTTGGAGACGCCAGTCTCAATTTATATGGACGACGTCAGTGCCAAAGCCTGTGTTCCAAAAAACCCTGACCCCGAGTGTCAAGTCCTCCAGCGATCTGACAATCTCATTGTCAATCCGGGATTCGAGTGTCCGGACGGCATAACAGCATGGCTAACGCAGTCCTTCTCAGGGGGGACGGATGCCCTGGTGCAATACGGGCCACAGAAGAAAAATCAACCTCATTCTGGAAAGGGGTAAGTACTAATATCTACTTTCAATAAATTACACTACTAAATGGTCCATACAGCATGGGTGCTTTCATTTTCGACAGTAGTCAGCCCGCTGCATTCACTGGAATGCACATGGTCCAAATCGATATTCCAGGAGACATGACCAGACGCTTCATGAAGGCATCATTCTGGTTGTCTGTCGATGCCACCGCCAAGAACGTCATCGGTTGCGAGTTGTTTATGGCTACCAGAACTGGCTATTATCTTTACGCTGTTGATCTTAGCGGCTTGACCACCAAGTGGACAAAGTTTGAGGTCAAAGACATTGAGCCCGATTCCCTTGACGATTTTAGAATTGAAATTGCCGGGTGCAGAGCAGATACCTACCCGATTATCTACATAGATGACATATACTTCGGAGTCGACCGATCTTCCCCCCCGGCAACAACTACCGTCGTGACCGAGCCAACCGCGACTCCAACTTCTGGGCCATGCACCGGCTTTCCATCCGTCCCAGATCCTTCGATGGAACTCAATGACAACATGAACAACTGGGTCCAGAGCAATGGTGATGTTATGATATATCCCGATACCGAATCTACATACGGTCCTCCGCATGATGGTGACGCGGTGGCAGTAGTCCAGTTACCACCTTACCAGAGCGTCTCCTTGAGTCAGTATACCTCGGGGTTCTGCGCCGACCAAGCCTACACGGCTAGCGTGTGGCTCTATATTCCAGAAGGTTACGACCATACCCTATGCCAGTTCCGCCTCGGGATCACTGGCGCCAGCGATCTCTTCAGCGTCTCTCGCGCCGGTAACTGGGAGAAGATGGAGCTCATCTTCCTGGTCGACGAGTCCGACACCACCAATCCTTTCCTAGACATCCACATCAGCGCCTTCTGCGATAACCCCAGCGAGATGATCGTGCTAATCGATAATTTTCAATACGGTCCCGCCCCAGTCTGCGGCGTCACGCCCTCCATCCCGGAGGGTGGGTTCGAAAGCGGCAATACCGCTATCTGGAATGCGGGCTTCTTCCAGGGCGACGAATCCTTCGCCATCACATCCGCCAAGCCACGTACGGGCAACAAAAGCGCCGTCCTGACCCTGCCCAAGATCAACAACGGCGTGAGCTTTATGAACAATTTTTCCGCCTGCGTTGGCACAAAGTACACCTTCCGCGTGTGGTACTTCATCCCCAAGGCCTACAAGGGAATCCAGTGCACCTTCAACACATACGCCTACTTCACGGGCGAGAACAATCAGGACATCGTGAACGCGTACGATGTGTGGACTGAGTCAAAGCTGGATTTCGTGGCGGGCGGCCCAGACATGACAATTGTGTGGAGCGTGGTGTGTGGTAACCAGCTGCAGAAAGTAGTGATTTACCTGGACGATGTTTCCGTAAGCAATCGATAGCGAGAGAGAGTGTCTCTTGTATGTGGCCACGTTTGCAGATAACCTTCATAAACAGAGATACGCGAGTTTAGTAATAGCGCATGTACATACTTTTACTTATTTAAATATACATATATGTATCTCACAACCAGAAAACAGTCGCAACATAAAAGAAAACAGGAAAAACAGCTCTTTTATAGAACGTATAGTAGTGAGACACTCTCCATGTACACCGACTTAGAGTAAAGAGTCTCGGTACCTAGTAACTCTGAAACTGCGCTGTCGCTGCTTCTCTTTCTGGAGGCGACGAACAGCTTTCTGGGACTTCTCTTCCTCATCAGAAGCCAAGGTTGCTATACAAGGCTCGACAGCCTGCTATTGACGCTTTTTTCTTGCGGAGTTACATAATAACACTAAATAGAAGAGCTTCGTGAATTTTCCCAAGGGCTTCCAAGGGGGCTGAAAATACAAGATCAATAACAAGCGAGGACGGGTTTAGCAGCTACTTGCCTAGCTGGAGGCTGGAACGACTCGACACATTTGGAGTGATCAGCAACGGGCTTGCGGGTGTTTCCTAGCTGTCCCGCCCGGCCCGGCGTCGTGTATATCTGGGCACGCCTCTGCTCTGCCCCACCACCACATGCGTTTGCATTCCTTTTACAGCCGAATTTAATCTTGACCGAAAGCGAACAATCAGGCATCTTGCGTGCAACCTGATCTTAATAATGAGAGAGTGTGTTCAAGCTTAGGTAAGATACCGTAACCTCTTATTTGGAGTGTACCTTAGCAAACGGTGGGGGCAAGGTAACTCGGGGTGCAGGCGCCTGCACCGTGCTGTCAGGTGTCATCAGACAGGAGTGACCCGATCACATGCTAAAATGGGAAGTAAACAAAGGGGCGCAAAGGGGCACCGCCAGGTTGGTGGTGTGTGGCTGGAGCTTGGAAGTGAGGAGAGGAGAGGGGAGGGAGAACATAGCTGAGTCTGCATGTTACTAAAGGAAACTAGTGGAATTATATTATTTCCTTCGCGCTTATAGGAGTTATTTTAGTCTAGATAGAATGCCGAGCCTCTAGTGTGAACCTTCTATATATAGATATTAAAATACACTAGCTTATACTATTATATACTATTAAAGGGCTGGATTTTAACTAAATCTAATTAGACTTATTTATATAATTTATTATAAGACTATTATTTGTTTTATATTTAATTAGAAGTAAGTAAATAAATAATTAAGTAAATAAGTAAATAAATATATATTTAAAGTATAAGTGAGTCTTTTACTATAAGATAATATTCTCTTTCTTTCTATATTTCGATATTTTACTAGAATTAACTATAAATCAATTAGAAGAGCTTTTTATAATATCTTATTAAGCTAGTAGTATTACTTATAATTAGTTTAATAATTTAACTAGTAATTAATTACTTATCTCTTCTTTATTAACTTATGAGATTAAAAAAGATAATATTAAGCTATTAATATCTAAAGAACATAATATATTTTTATCTTATACTAAGACTAATTTAGCTACTAGGTTTTATAATAACTAGACGATTTATTTATATAATAATTTAAAGTCGATTAGAGATAATTAAAAGTAATTAAAGCTAGACTAGATAGATATAACTTTTATAACTAGAATTAACACGTTAAATATGTTTAGAAAAGAATAAGAAGATATTAAGAGCGAGTTATAACTACTTATAAGTTATAGAGTATATAGTATTTAATCGATTATAAATACTAATAGTATCCGAGCTTCTATTAGACTTATAGTCGACTAGATTAATTAATATTTTTAATAGTAGAGTTAATAGTATAAAGGTTAAGGAGGTTCGGAGTTACTTTATTATTCTATCTTACTTAGTATCTTATTCTCTTAGTTATACGTATTTAGTAAACTTAACTAGTATAAGTGAAGATAAGGTAAAGCTATTTTATTTTAATATAAGTAGTATTTAGGTTTTAATCGATTAAATACTAAGTCTTACTAGATTTAATACTCTTATTCTATAAAAAAGCTAAAGGGAGATATATTAGGATAAAATAAGAACTTTTAATAAGATCTAAGAGTTAAATAATATAAACTCTTAGGAGGTAGAATTGTTTATATATCGACTTATAATTATATAAGAGGTTAATATTATAAATACTCTTATCTAATAGTATATAAGTATTATTACGAGTAGTCTACTAAGGATTAGAAGTAAAAGCAGAAGAGAGTTAAAGCTAAAAAAGCTTCCTTTTAAATTACTAAAAGATAAAATACTTAATTAAAGATAATATTATTATAAGTACTTTCTAATTAAAACTAAATTAATACTTAATCGAATTAGGTACTTTAATATAATTAAGGAGTTATTTAATAGTATAAGAATATAATATCTTTATTAAGTGTATTATCTAAGTTAGCTAATGTTAAGAGTATTAAAGTAATAGGTATACTTCTACTATTATATTATATAGTTAACTAACTACTAATCGATTAGTATCCGGATAGTTAAATAAGATACTATATTTCTTACTTATTAAGTTCTTATAAAGAATAAGAAGAATACCTTTTCTTCTCTATTCTTATAGATTACTTATTTAATCCTAAGTTCTTTACTAGTCTATTAGTAAATAGTTATTAAGGTCTTATATCTAAGTACTATAAGTTATATTATAATAAGAAAAAGAGTAGAAGATATAATACGTATTCCTTTATAGTTAATTTATAGTTAATTCTAATTATAATAGTAATTAATTATTCGTAAGGCTATAGCTAGCTAAAAACTATTAACTATAGTGTATATATATTAATTATATAACCAGTTAATTAAGAAGAATGTCTGTACTTGCTAATATATATATATAGTATATATAACTATTAACTATATATACTATTTTTAATAGTATAATATATCTACTATATTAGTAAAAAATTCTGGCGCTGGGTGCATATGCCACCCGCTATTTTCGCTATTTTCGCTGAATAGTCGCTTTTTACACTTAAGGCGCCTTAAAATATAAGAGGCTGTCGTATATCAGCCTTAAATAATAAAAGGCCGCCTTATACGCCCTAGGCGCCTTTTATAAGACCTACTTTTATATATAAGCTAGACCTAATTAGAAAAGATATAATATTTTTAATTAGAATTAAAAATTAAAAGTTAAGTTTATTTTTAGATTTTAAACTAACTAAAAACAGTTAGATTAGCGTAGATTTTAACTGAGAATTTAAAAAGACCTGCACTTTCTACGCACGTCCTTAAAACTAATCTCGCTAAGCCTTTAACGCTATGAATATCCACGCTAAAAAATCGCTAGCGTACTTATAATTCGATTCGGGTAAATTCTATATAAGAGTAAGCTGCCGCCTTGCCTAATCGAGCGATATAAGCCTAATAATACCTTCTTATAAGATATACTCTTATTAGTATCCTTAGTATTCTTAGTATTCTTAGTATTAGTATTAAAGCTTTTAGTAAGCTTACTAATATACCTTATATAATATAAAAAAATCGGACTTACTTTTATTTTATACGCTAGTCCTAATTAGGCTTATAAGCACCTATAGCGCCTTAGTCGCTCTAGGCGCCTATATTATTAATTTAAATTAGTATATACCGCTTTAAGGGTCGCTAGCTATTAAATTAATCGATATATAACTTAGGCTAAAAATCGCGAAAATAGCGCCTTTAGCGGCTAGCCGGCGGCTGCCTAGAGCTAGATCTTTTTACTAATATACCTCTTACTTTAGTTAATTCTTCGGATAAGACTTAGCGAGTTAACTTCTCGTATATATATTTCTTTTCTATATAAAACTAATTACTAATTAAATATAAATAAAATAAATATAAACTAGATCTTTCTTAAATTTATATTATAGTTTAGAGTTATAACTTTAGTTAAACTTGATATTACTTTAGGAAATATAAGTAAGGTTTAAGTGATAATTAATATTTATAAACTTACTACCTATAGTTCTTAAAATACTTAGGAATATAAGTTGAATCGATTTCTAATTAACTAGAATTTTATACTAATATTATATAAGCCTTATCTTCTTATAGATTATAGAATAAGAGAAAACTTAATCTGACTTAGAGAAATCGATATATATTTAATATATAAATAGTACCCTAGGGAAAGAGATAGTTATCTTAATAACTAAATAAATAGCTAAAGACTTATTAAACGTAACTTCTATTGAAGTTAATATATTATATAAGCGACTATTAGGTAACTTAAATAAACTATTAATTTATTCTTATACTAATAACTTAGAGTAAAGTAAGTTAAAGGACTTAAGCTTGTAATTGATTCTAATATGATTTATAGTTAAGATTTTTACTTGTATTATTTATAATAAGGTATTAGAATATATTAAGGAGTATTTTAATATATTCTTACAGCTTTTTTAGATTACTTTTAAATTAACTAGTTATTAAGTATAATTCGTATGATATAATACAGAGAATATTAGTATTAAAGTAATAGTATTAAATATATATTTAAAATAAGTAGCTAGTAATTATTTGAATTAGATTATAATCGATTATATACTAACTATTTAAGGTAAGGTTATATAATAACTATAATAGATCCTTAACGTCGCCTATAAGATTAGTAATTAGCTAGCTTTTATATTTATTATAAGGTATACTTTAAAAGAGGTATTCTTATAAGGCGATTTCGTGATAGCCCTACTTAAGATACTATATTATTACTACTAGAAGCGGATTTATTATCTATAAGTTTATATATAGCTTTAGACTATAGATTATTTAGATACTAATCGATTAATAAGTAATTTATACTCTTTATAATAAGATTATCTCAGGCTGTTTAGATTTAAATATAAAAGCTTAAGTAGAATATAAAACCTAAGAATAGATCTTTCCTAGACTTAATTAAATATATTAGAAAGGTAATTAAGAAGCTTAGGATTAGACTTAAAAACTATCTTATATAGTAGAAGTAAGTTATTAATTTAGTAATATATATAGGATAAATTTAGATATCTATAGAGCTATTAAAAAGTTAGTTTATATTAAATTCTTAGTTAATTATAAACTAAAACTACCCTTTAGTGCTAAGAGTATTAATATATAATAATAGAGATAACGTGATAACCGGTTAATTTTTAGTGTTAAGGTGTTATATAGTAATATAAGTAGCATAGGAAGAATAAAGCGTGTAATTACTATTAAAAGTAAGTTTTACTTATATATCTAGAGTTTTATTTAACTAATATTTAATTAAGTAAAGTAAAGGATTACTATCTTTCTTAATAAAGAGATTCTATACTTACTGAACTTAAGGCTTAGAATATCGATATTAGTAGTATTAATAAAGATAAGTTTACTACTACTAGGAAAAAGCGGATTTAATATAAGAAGCGCTATCTTAAGGTAATTATAACCTCTTTACTTCTAATTTAGTGAATTATATTAATACTAATATCTTCAGGTATAACTAAGTATATTAAGACCGACTTATAATTAATTACGAGTTAAGTTATAACTTTTAACTCTAGTTTAATTTAATTAAGTTATTTAATCTCTACTAGAAGCGTTTCTAGTATTAACTTATAGAACGAGTTATAATATCCTAATAATACTATATAACTTAGAGATAGGACTAAATAAGAATTACAGCTATCTTAGGATAATATATTACTTCTATTGAATTAATTAGCTCATTTAGTTACTTTATAGTTATAATTTTAAATATTTAGTAACTTAACTATACCTTATATTTTTTTCAAATTATCTTAAGATATACTTATTTCGTATAAAAGTTTTTAACTATTAAAGTTTATCTACTTAAATCTAATATTAATTAACAGTTAGTTTCTTTAATAGGAAGAAGTTAGATAAAGTATTTTAGCTATTAGTTTAGTTACTACTACTTTAACTAGCTCCTAATCGACTACTAGTTAGTAAGGTTTTTCTTCTTCTTTACTATATATTAATAATAATAAAGTAAAAGTCGCTTTATAATCGATTAGATCTTTATCTTAGCTTTTTATTATAGAGTACCTTATAATAGATATTATTTTAATATATAATATTATACTTTTATAATAGTTAAAGTAATTCGATTATAAACTTAAATAGCTTTAGTTAGATATTATCTAAAAGAGTTAATAAAGGTTTATTTAAGAGTACTTTATATATTTAAAAGAAAAACTCTTTAGAATTAATTATAAAAGACTTTTACTATTTAGGTTATAAGCTTAACTTTTTCAAATCAGAGATAAGAGAGTTTAAGCTTACTTAAAGTACCTTAGAGCTTAGAAAACTAAGAGAGAGTAACTAGCTTATCTTAAGAGTTAATAGATCCTTAATTAGCTCTAAGTTAATTCTACTATAAGATATAGATAGTTCTTCTAATAGATTTAATTAGGTAATAAAAAGTTAATAGTAAGATATTATAATAGTCCGGTATTTACTCGCTATAAATACAGAAGGCTATAGTTTAATCTCTAATAATCGAGAAGTAAGTATATTATATAGATAGGAAGATAGTTACTAAGTATTAAAATATTATTTTAAGTTAAGTATAAAGCTCTTATCTAATAGTAGATATATTAGTCTTATATAGAACCTTTATTCTCTAAGAATCCCTATAGATCCTATAATCCTAAGGCTCTAAGAACCTTAGATCCTATAGTTCTAAAAGCTTTATACTATTATATAATATATAGTCTTATGATTCTATTCCTAGTTCTTAGCTTCTTTATATAATAAAGCTACTAAGCCTCAGGGCTAAGATATATATAATACTCTTTCTAAGTACATTCGTAACAGATATATAAGAGTTTAAAGAGAGGTAGAGAAGGTAATATAAGTAAAGTTAGAGTCCGGTATCTATAAACTAGATAGTTCCCTTTTATATACTTATCTATTATATCTTAATTAATTAGAAGTCGATTATATTGTAATAATAATTAACTTTATACTATTTAGTTAATATTAATTAGCTTTAAGACTTTTAATATAACTATAATATAAGGAATACACTTATATAAGGGTATAAGGTATTAAGAAATTAATTTAATTTGAGTATCTGCGCTTAATATAGCTTAATATATAGCCTATAGTGATAAATTTAGTTTTAATCGATTATAAGTCGAATAGAAAACTAACTAGATTTAAAAACTATAAAATCTCTAACTTGTACAAAATAAAGGAAAAGACCTATTTTAAATTATTATAACTAAACTAGCTCTTAATTAATTAGAAATCGAAAAAGATCCGGCTATAAAAACTTTAAAAGAAGTAATATATATATTAATATAGAATTAATTAGAAGTCGATTAGGGATTAGTATATTCTAGAAGTTATATAAGATCTTTAATCTTATAGAGGTTAAGGTTAGATTCGACTTTAAGACTACTCGGGTTTAAGCTAGGTTCCTTTTTAGGACTATCTGAGTTTAAGTTAGGTTTCTTTTTAGAACTATCTGAGTTAAGGTTGAGTTCCTCTTCCTTCTTATTATTACTATTACTTTTAGAGCTACTTATATCTAGCTCGAGAGAGGTAAAGAGCTTTACTAATTAATAATCAGCTTAGGCTTAGTTAGTTTCCTAATAGTCTTTACTAATATATACTAGATCAGGATAAGATTAATCTATAATCGATTAGTAGTTAATTTAATAAGTATTATAATATATTTCTACTTACTAGTATTAATATATAAGTGATACTTAAAAGTCTTTAGGATATAAGCTTTAAGATATATCTTAGTTTAGTTAAGCTAATCAATTAGTAATTAACTTTTATTAGGATACTTTAAGAGTATTTACTTTATTATAGAAAGTATTAAGTTCTTCTTTAAGAGTTTTTCTAATAAATCCACTTAGTTCTTTATCCTATTAGACTTATAATTAATTAGTAATCGATTAGGAATTCTTTCTAGTTATACTTATATTAAGCTTAGGGTACTCCTTAGGAACTAGTATAGCTTTTATAGCTTTAGCTTTCGTAACCTTTAAAACTCTTATAGCTTTCGTAGCTATAGTAGTAGGTACTTTACTTCTCTTATAAGAGGTAGTTATAGATCGAGACTATAATCGATTAGTAATTAATTAGATTTTATCTAGAAGATATATATATACTTACTTTTAGCTAGATTTAGTTAGTATTTCTTAAGATATAGTCTATAATCAATTAGAAATTAAATATATATTAATAGTGAAAATAATAATTAACCTTAGCCTTGTAATAACGCTTACGAGTAGAACTCTTAGGTTCTTTCTTATTAGAACCTAGAGCTAGATTATCTGCTTTATTATTAGATTATAATTAATTAAAAATCAATCTTTAAATATATATATATAATACTTATAATTATAATTAGATTAGATTTTTAAGCCTTAGTAGGAGTCTGAATATTTAGATCTATTTAACTATATAATAGTTAGATATTATCCTTACTATATAAAGAATAACTTATAATTAATTAGGCGTTAACTTTAATTTATATTAATAGAAGATTTATTAGGTCTTAATCGATTAGGAGTTAACTATAGTATAGTATATATAAACCTCTAGTGTAAGTAGAAAAAAGTAAGGTATAGAAGAAAGAAAGTTCTAGATAGAATAGTAAACTTAACTATATAATAGTAATAAGTAATCGATTAAGTAAGGCCACGTAAGTAGATTAGTTTAGTATTATTACTAATTTACTATAATTAAAATCTTAATATTTATATCGTGATAATACTATAGTAACTATACTATCTAATAATAGTTTTAAGGAAAGTTTAATATTACTATAGTAAAAAGTACTAACTTAGACTAGCGTTAAGTAGTAATCGAGTCGCGCTTATACTATTGATTTAGAGTCTATATATACGAATTTTACACTAAGCCTACGCTAAATTAAGAATATACAGACTTAGCTGGTTTCTAAGGGGAGGGGAGGGGAGGAGTACAATTCAAACCGTTCCAGACGGACGACAGAAGAAAGCGTCATAGAAGCGGCCGAAGTGGCCGAAGTGGATAGGTAAGGTACCTACACAAGGTAAGGTATGTTCAGTTCAAGAAGCAGAGAAAGCAGGCAAACAGGTGGTACTGTAGCATGCTGCGTTATTGTGCTGTGCTGTACTGTACTGGCCTGGCTCTTGCCTCCCGCCGCCACACGTCATAGCCGTAGCGTGGCCATAAGGTATGCCCATAAGGTACCTAAGGTACCTACCTAGGTATACTTGGGTACACTTGTACTCACTCTTACTAAGCTAAAATTTACACCTGTTGTAACCTGCAGCGCAAGTAAATTACTGTACAAGTAGCCGTAGGTACCTAAGGTACCTTAGAAGATCCGATCCAAGTTCCAGCCACAGACCAGTCCCAGCAAAAGAGGGTGTCAGCGTCAGTGTCAGTGTTAGCGTCAGCGTCAGCGTTAAACACCCAAGGTACCTAAGGTACCTACCTACCTACGTACCTCTTGTAGAGCTGCACCTGTACCTGCACCTGCACCTGCAACCAAGAAAATCCCTGTCTGAGCTCGCACGCGACACCACACTAGCCAGAATTCGTCACTGCTGCTCCTGTCCCTGTTCCTGCTCCTCCTCCCCTCCCTCCTTGCCCTTCTCCAACAAATTCACATCCACAACTGGTCGTCGTCGTCTCTCTGTCTCTCGAACAGGAAAGCTCAGCCTCAAGCCCAAGCTCAATCTCACCTCACCATCACCATCACCATCGTGTTCCTCTCCTATCCTGATCCTATTTCGATCCCTTCTTCCGCCTTTTACATATCCACCTCGCAGTCTCAACAAAGGATTGCTAGCTGTAGCACTCACAGACCTGCCAACTTTCTCCATCAGCATCCCCTCCATCAAGAGCTTGTTCAAGATGTCCGACTTCACTAACCACAACGACCACGTGGTCCCATCCACCGAGACTGAGCCTGGCTCCGGTCTGCAGAACGCAAAGGCTTCAGTCGTCAACAGTGAGGTGCGTAACTTCTGCCTTGTACGCGGCATCTTAGTTCAAAGCTGACTTTGACACAGTGCGCCGAAGCTTCGCAGCTCTCCCATTTCCAACTAACCTACCAACAGATGCTTCTGCTGCCGCCGATGCTGTCAAGAACCACCCCATAACTCAGAATATCACCAACGGTATGATTTTGTTCGAAATTTTCTGATGGGGGTCAGTGCTGATTGTCAGTAGGTCCAGTTGCAGAGAATGTCAAGGACCAGACTGCAAAGACTTCAGCCGAGTTCTCCAACCTTGCTGCCTCTCGCACAACTCCAGCTACTCCAGCTGCCACTGGCCAACCTCTCACACACTACCACTCGTTCTTCTCGAGCCTCCTGTCCTGGGAGCATCCCCGCGCGTCCGGGATCGCATACCTCGCAACCGTCCTCTTCATCTTCGCCGCTCGATACCTTGATATCATCCGATACAGCTTCAAGGTTACATATATGGTTTTGGGTATCACTGTTTTGGCCGAGGCTGTTGGTAAAAGTCTCTTCTCTACTGGTTTCACCTCCCAGGTCCGCCCTAAGAAGTACTACACTGTTTCCAAGGAGACCTTGAACTCAGTTATCGGAGACGTTCACGAGCTTATCAACTTCTTCGTCATTGAGGCTCAGCAGATTGTCTTTGCCGAGAATCTCTTCGTGTCTGGTGCTGTAAGTGACTGCGCATTTCACTGGGCAAGCCCACCTAACATATGACAGGCATTTATCGGAGCTTTCCTCTCCTACTACCTCATCAAGGTCGTTCCTTTCTGGGGTCTTTCTCTCATTGGAACTTCCGTTCTCTTTCTCAGCCCATTGATCTACAAAACCAATAAAGAGTTGATCGATGCGAACCTTTCCAAAGCCTCATCCGTCATCAACCAGCAAACTGAGCAAGTGAAGCAACTTGCCAGCCAGCAAGCCGCGCGCGCCACTGAGACAACCAAATCGCTTGTTGGTGACTACTCCGCCAAGGCACAAGATTTGATTGGTGGCGCCCGGGGACGTTCGACCTCACCAATTGCTTCCGTGAAGCCCCCTAAGACTGAGCCTCTCGACGTCAAGGAGAACATCCCAGCTTACAAGAGCGAGGATTTTCCGATTGCACCAAAGGAGGAGTTCAAGTCCTCAGCACCTGCTGTTGTGGACGAGCCCTTGGTCGCTACATAAAAATCCCCAACCAAGTAAAGTCCTATGATACTATTGGAGGATTCTAAATGCGAGGGTGATGTTTCTAGAAAGGAATGCAGGGAAACGAACAACTAAATTGGTACGAGGTACGATACGACGCTCTCGAGTAGTATGAGGTCTCATACTAACCGGGAATGGAGTCTTGGGATTCTTATGAATATGAGCTGGTTTCGCATGACCTTATGAGCAATTTATTGTACTATGCTGCGTTGGGTAAAGGCTTTCCTTATTGCTTGGTGCCTTGGTCTTGTCATTATGCGGTTATTTCCTTGCTCACGATGAGTCATTCTAGGTTGTTATTAGGTTGCCTGCTATTCCTTTTGTTAATAGTGCCTCATGCATGGTTTGCGTGCGTGAAATATGTTATATGTCGGTTAGGTGTACTGGCTCGCAAGTACAATGGTGAAAATGGCATTATAAGCATAAACATTTTCCATCACAAACCTAGTTCTTGCTCTGCGACTTGTCATGGTTAGCCTCATTTGTTTGAGTTGCATGATATTGTGTCGCAAACCCTCCCTCCAACGACCCGGGTCTCAAAACCATCGAAAGACCATTGACGAGCTAACACCTTACACCGTCTCGGCAAGACTGGGCCACAATGGTCGAATTACCTCAAGGATACATATGTAGTAAGCTGAGAGCACGTTACGTAAGAGAGCTCCTCTGTCGAGTTTGTCACGCTTGCATCTCTCTTCTCGGCAGTCCCCATTGTAACTTCTACGTCCCACCACCTATAGAGCGCTTTTGAAGTCCCAAGAGTTACATGTATGTCTCTGCACGTGCAAGGTTCCAATGACTGCTTCAAAGGACTTTGGATGGCAATTTTATTACGGGAGCTAGCAACAAGTATGCTGGCATCGCAGGCAATCGTCACCGCCCGCCCCGATCTAGTCTATGCAGTCGGCGTCTCCTCATGATCCTTGCCAACTTCAATCCTGCACCATCTTCGACGCAGCTTCCTGAGCATGATCGTGGAATTTTATATGCAACTTTTTAATCCTTGGCTTAAAAACTTCATCCTTCTCCTCAATGTTCCAAACCCACTCCTGCATCCTGTGTCCCACATGCACACACTTACAATCCCGATTCAGCATGTTGTCCAACATAATCCGCGTCTTGAGGAATGATCTGAAGAACTCAGCACTATCGAGTGAGGTGTGTGCTTGGACAATGCGTTTGGGGCCTTGGATTTGCACGGTGATATGTTGGAGTTTCGTCAATTTGGGGATGACGTGGTGGATGGCGAGAGAGAAGCCACTGGTTGTGTGGACGTGGAAGGTGAGGTGGGTGAGGCTGGGGAAGAGCAGAATGGTGGGGGAGAAGATTGTGCAGGCTTGGATTTCTTTCCTGTTTTTCCATCCATTAGCAATGTCTCTAAACATTACACTTGCTGAAGTAGAACTAGATATGGAGACGATTGCGAAGGAAAGGCTTACGGCACAGTAAGTACTGCTCTCTTTACCAAACTCTTCTCAGCGCTCTCCATCTTTTGCCTGGCATTGTTCAGCGTACTCTCGTGATACGTGAAGCCGAACTCATTGACTTTGCACCACACCACATTCGCCTCGGCATATAACTCCTTGTTTCCCTTCAGCGCCAGAACAACTTCGGTTTCTTGCCACTGCTCTCTATGAACACCGATTGCTCAATCATGATTCGCAATTCTGCGGGCAGCTTGGTGAATTTGAATGTACTGCTGACGTTGTACTCTGTTGGAATCATAGGGCCTTTAGTTTTGATCTGCATTCTAGGCTTCTTCACGGCTGGGGTTTCGTTGAGAGCGTGAAGTTGTCGTTGGGGGATGCCAGCCTGGAAGAGCACCAGCTTGGACATTTTCTCGTGCTTTGCAAGGCCATTGCGGTCACCATCTGGATATTTAGGAGCTTGAAGTTGCATCGTATCGCGAATGATGAGATCCAAGACTTTAAGACCGAAAGTTATTACTGGTTTGGCGATTTGTGGTTTGCTGATTTGAGGTCTAGGAGCTGGTGTAGGAGCTGAAGCCTGAGGGGCGGGGTTGGTGTGGTTGACACGGTGGTGAGGGAGAGCCTTCTTCGTCTTCTTCTTCTTCTTCTTCTTCTTCTTATTCTTCTTCTTCTTATTCTTCTTATTCTTCTTGGCTATTTGCTCACGCCGACGACACGCATTACAGGTTTCTGACGCTCCTGACATGCTCGTATCTTCATTTGGTGGCGTCTTGGCCATTGTGAGTCTTGGGAAGTGCGATTGTTTGTGTCGTGTTGGTGTTGGTAAGGTGTTGGTGTCAATGGAGTGGCACGTTTTTGGCGGGGTCAAGAAGCCTAAACAACTCTACCGATTCTACCCAAGTACGAGTGCAGGAAGCATAAGTGGCTGTGACTAACTTAGTTGTGTTGATGCTGGTGCTGCCTCTATTTTAGCTGATTTTCTCCCTTTCGCCCTTCCACGTTGCACTCATTTCTTCTTATCTTTGAGGCCAGTTTAGTAAGAAGGTGAAATCGCTCAATTTAGATTTCTAGGCGTTTAAGAGAGTATCCCAGTCTAAGTACAGCCCCAGTATTTAGCCGACTTGATGATTTTCGTAAAATTTACTTTAGGACCTTTGTATCTAAGGAGAGAAAGCATCGCCGGGTTTCCCCCGTAATCAGGTATCGATAATCAGATCCTGTTTCCCGGATGATTCAGGCGTATTTTTAGGGGGTGAGCGAATTTCTTCGGTTCCCTGATTAAGGCCAAGGAGATTCAGATTTCGATTCTGATTGGGTGTTACATGATCGATATGCAGTATAGAGAGCTTGAAGCTCAGCCGCTGCAAGATAGTATATTAAAGCCATCTGACCTGTAATTTATATGCTGTTATTCTTTATAGAGTGTCAGAAGAGTATAAACAGATCATACTTTGACTCCATCACATGGCATCGTGACATTGCCTAGATCATGTGCTTATAAGTGAGTGCACTAAAACACACCTAGAGGCTTAAAAGTTGCAATCCAATAGATGAGACGATTAATGCCTATCTGTAGTGAATATATTTATTCGGCGAGATTTGATTATCAGCGGCGAGTTCGTTACTAGCCCCGTCGACAATGTAATTAATAGTTTACGAAGGCGAGCCGAAATGAAATCCGTTCATTTCGCCGATTAGTCCGCTACGCGAGCCGAGGAACACTAAAATCTTAAGTATTAGAAATATTTACCTCGCTATATAATTTATATTAAATTAAGAGTACTAATTATGAAATTCATTTCCACCTTTATACTTTATAATAAGAGTATTAATTATAGCTTACCTAGTAACTAAAGCTCGAATTCTCTCTTAAGGGAAACTATCTTATTTAGCTCTTTATACTCTTTTAGTTCACTTAATTATATAAAGAGCATTCTAATCTCGAGTAATTATTATTTAGATAAGTATTTAAACCTCTTTAATTACGTTTATATTAGAGGAATTACTTATATACTTAAGAAGGATAATACTTGCCTTTTTAAGTCTATTAGTAAAAAGTTCTAGCTCCGGGTAGTAGCTAGTAATCTGCTCTTAGCGCTATTTCTACTATTTTAGCTAAAGTTATATATTAAAAAATTTAAGGATAGTTTTATATTATATTAAATTAAATATATACTAAAAGCTATATTAGCGACTTTAATACTTCTAACTATATTATCTTCTTAAATAACTAGAATAGTTCTAACTTTTAACTTACTTCTACTATCCTTAGCTTTTCTATACTTTATAGCTTTACTTACTACTATTAACTACTTTCTTTATTAATATACTACCTTTCTATTCTATACTAGATATATACTTCTCTCCTTTAGAGCTATTAATATATATATTATTCTAGATACTATTATTATTATAATCGCTTTTATAATATATAATATTTATTATACTTATACTAAAAAGATAGCTTAAAGTGCTATAAGCTCTTCTAGTACTATCTAGTACTCTAGCGCTATTTATACTATCAACTATATATATACTAATTATTACTTATAAGTTAATATTACTAGTATAGTTATATAATTATTTAGCTTTATTCTAGATCTCTTTCTTATATTTCTCTTTTTTTAGTTCTTTACTTTATACTTAATACTATTAACTTATAGTAATAGTCTGGCTATTACTTAAAGATACCTTACTTATAAGCCCTAATAAGCTCTAAATTATATAATTCCTACTAGCCTTTCGCCTAGCTTATAATCTCCTTAAGTATTACTAAGCTGCTTTCTCTTTTAATCTTATATACTTATAATATAGTAAATATTTTATATTACCTTATAAGCTATCTTACTTCCGACGAAGCAGAAAGCCTTAAAAACTTAATATAAGCTTAGTAATACTTTTAAGTAATAAAATTATAAGTTATAAGGTAGTTAATGAATACTAAAAAGTAGTTAACTTATAATATAGCTTATAGCTAAGTACTTAGAGTAGTTAAAGTTTTCCTTAAAGTAGCTAACTTATAAGATAGCTTATAGCTAAGTATCTAAAGTAATCTAAGATTTATAAAAAGTAGTTAAAGTTCTTCTTAAAGTAGCTAACTTATACTAGTAAAGTAGTTTATAAATAAGTATTTAAAGTAATCTAAGATTTATAAAAAGTAGTTAAAGCTTTCTTTAAAGTAATTAACTTATAAAGTAGTTTATAGCTAAGTATCTAAAGTAGTCTAAGCTTTATAAGAAGTAGTTAATTAACTAAGTAACTATTTTTCCTATATAAAAGTAATCCTTAAAAAATAAACTACTTATTAACTAATTTGCGTTTTATAGTTATTCTCTAGAATATAATTAACTCTAGAGCTATATTCTTATTAGTCTATTAGTAATATAATATATTATAAGATAACTACTTACTATACTTTAACTAAATTAATTATAGCTTTCTTATTATTCTTAATTATCTATGAACTAATTAGAATTATTATAAAAGTAATAATTCCGCTATATTAGATCTTATTTAATATTAGCTTTCTATTTAGCTAGATTAAAAGTATTTAATATATATTTATCTCTTAAGTTATATAAAGACTTAGTTTAATCTTTTACTCTTTAGATAAAGATACTACTATTTCTATCTAAACTAATATAACTTATAAGAGTTTCTTAATTAGTATTTTTTATAATCTTAAATTAATCTTTATCTAGAAGAACTAAACTAGAGCTAACTTACTTAGCTTTAATAATTATAGCTTTAATAGTAGAAGAGTTTAGAACCATATCTTATATATATTAATTAATTTATCTTATTTACTTATAAATAGCTTAATATTTACTTTTCTTTATTACTTTCTTTCTTTTTACTAATAGTTTAATATTAATTAAAACAGTATAAATATTAAGTATATAACTTACTAATTCGTTTATTAGAATAAGTTAAAAGATCCTTAGGAGGCTATTTTTAATTAGCTTTTATATTATCTCTTTTAAAATATACTTACTATATCTAATATATACTTTAAAAACTAAGCTTAACTCTTAATAGTATCTTTTACTATTACTATAGCTTTAAGCTATCTTCTTAATATATTCTAAGAGAGAATATTTATAAACTCTAGTAAACTCTCTAAGTCTAGATTAATTATATTTTCTTAATAATCTTTATTAGAAAGCTTTAAGTCCTTTACTTTCTTTATTATTCTCTTATCTTAGATTATTTTAAATAGTAGTAAAAATAGTAGAAAAGAATATAAGTTATTATCTTACTTATAACTTAGTATAAATCGATATCTACTTTTAATATAATATATACTTATATATTTTACTCTCTTATATTATTAGTAAGATTATTAATATTTAAACTTTTAATTTATTTACTTTATATTAAAAAATATATACTACTTATTTCTATAAAAATATATCTTTATAAAATCTAAGTTATCTAATAAATTATTTAGATTAGTATTAAAAGGAGTCTTAATAAGTTTCTTTATTACTTTAGTATAAGTAGCTTTAACTACTCTAGTAACTTTCTTATAAAGCTTAGTAAAAATCACTCTTTACTTTTTATTATTTATCTTTTACTAACTTATATAAATAAAATAAAATAAAGTTATTATACCTTAGTATTAACTAGTAACTATTACTTATATCTAAACTTATAACTATTATTTATAAGAGTATATAGTACTACTTTAGTACTATAACTCTATTTATAATAAGCTAATATAATTATAGTACTAACTACTACTATAGTAGAACTATTAATAAAGGTAAACTAAGATTTAATTATATTATATATTATATAAGTAAAGTATTTCTTCTATTAGTAGAGTAAAACTAAATACTTTATTATAACTTTACTTATTTATTTTATTTAATCTAGCTTACTTAGATATTAGTTATAGCTTTTACTTAATAATTTAGAAAATATATTTTTAAGATCTAGTAATAATATAATATAGTTTTATATTAATCTCTTCTAGAATTTTACTTAAGTATTAAGATCTTTTATATTAGTATAATTACTAAATACTTATTAAACTATCTACTTAATAGACTTAAGTAAATCTGATCTATACTTACTAATATAGTCTTCTATCTACCTCTTATTAGTTTTATTTCTTATATTTAGTAAATAGTAGACTTATTTTTTATATTATAAAATTTTCTAACTTATATAATTTAAAATTATTAGTATACTCTTATTAATAAGTTAATTCCTAGTACACTATAATTACTTAACTTAGTTTCTACTTATTTTCTTTAAGCTAGAATATATATTTAATCCTATATATCTCTATAATTTATACTAAGGATATTAATACTAATATTACTTAGATCTCTTATTTACTATATATTATAAGTCCTTAGATAACTAGATTATATCTTTCTTAATAGTATTTTATAATACTTTAAGGGAAGAGTATACTACTATTTATAAACTTAGTAACGCTTTTTATATCTATATTTAAACTTAAGTTATTTAATTATATAAATATCTAGAAGTTTAGTTACTTAAATAGTAGAAAAGAGAGTAGTTTTTATAATTAAAGTTAATTTAGATCTCTTTCTTTTATTATTTTTTTAAAATATCATATATTTGAATATATAGAAAAGTAAGTAGAGTTAGTTAAATACTTTATTAAATAGTAGATTCTATTAGGATATATTAGATAGAAAATATTAAAAGTATTAACTACTTTAGTATATCATTATAACTACTAATATACGTTTATAAATACTAACTATATTTAGCTTATATAAACTTAACGTATCTCTTTTA